CTTTACTTGCGTTGTCACACACATACCTCTATCTTGCATTGTTATGCACACCTTACTTGCGCTGTTACGCATGTTTTGTTTTACTTGCGCTGTCACACATGTCTACTTCGTTACTTGTGCTGTTACGCATGCTTTATCTTGCGCTGTCACGCACACATGTTTTCTTTGCGCTGTTACGCATACTATCACTACAACAAAAAAGGTCTATGGTGACGAAAATGCGTGACGAAAAAATATTTCGTCTCCAAATATGCATGTTTTAGTGATGAAAATAAGATTTCGCCTCCAATTGTATTATTTTTAGAGACGAAAACCAAATTTCATCACCAAATGCTTAAAATCAAATAAAAGAATAGGTGGCAAAAATTTTATTCGTCTCTAAATTTTATTTTTCGTCACAAAACAATTTCCCGCCCTTGGAAAATTTGGTGGAAGATTTGGCGCCATTTTGGAGACAAAATTTGTCGTCACCATTGTAAAAAAATTTAGAGAGGAAATAATTTCGTCTCCAAATGTATTATTTTTAGAGAGGAAAACCAAACTTCGTCACCAAATGCTTAAAATCAATAAAAAAATACAAGAAATCTAGGCTATTGTGACAAAATTTAGTGACAAAATTTTTTTTGTCTTAAAATTTAACCGAAATATGACAAAATGTTAATTTTGTCGTTTGTTTTAATTTTTCTCAGAAGTATAGGAGACGAAAACAAAAATTCGTGTGCAAAAATGAGGCGCCAATTTCATTTGCATTGGCGCGAATTATTTTAGCTCATTGGAGACGAACATTTTTGTCACAAAATATAAATTTTTTTTTTTGTGACGAACGTAATTCATCACCAATAAATTCCATACCGATGTCGTTACATATTTCCATTTATTAGGCGACAAATATATTTTTGTCTGGGAATGATAAGTTATGGAAGATGAAAATATTTCGTCACCAATAAACACTCCAACATGCAAACAATGTCATTTCATCTTTCTATTAAATAGGCGACAAATATATTTTTGTTTTAGAAGAATAAGTTGTGGGAGACGAAAATATTTCGTCACTAATAAATTCTAATTGATTGCGTGACGAATATATGTTTCATCTCATAAGGTTAAGTCGTGGAAGACAAAAATATTTCATCACCAATAATAAATTCTTTGTTCTGGTATTGAAGGATACAAAAATATTTTATCACTAATCATTTCTGTTTTTTAAAATGCCTTGAAACTGTGACCCCAAGAGATACACTCTGACGCTTATCACTCATTTTCATGTACATGGACCTTGAAGTCGTGACCCAAGAAGACACTTTCTACAAACCCTCATTTCTCTCTCGCACTTGAGTCTACTCCTCTCTCACAAGTATTGAAGTCGTGACTCAAGAAGACACTCTATTAGATATATACATGTATATATATAGAATTGGTACCAAAGTCATAATTATTCCATGATTCAAGAGATTTGTCTCTAAAGTACAGTGATTATAGCCTAGGAGGTATGATCGCTAGCCATGTGCCCAAGATTTGGAAAATTTTCCTATTTATTTTGTGTACAAATTCCATAGATATTATGTACAAAAAGATTTGATGAATAAAAGATACAAATATATATATATAGTGGTACTCACTTTGGGTCAACTAGTGATTTAATAAGAATATGAGGGCCAAAATCTTAATTTATGAATTTGAACGTTTAATTAAGTGTAGTATTTAATTTATTTAAGGTCTAGAAATTTAATTCGGATAAAGTTTCTCTGTTTTGAATTAAACGGCGAATTGTACTGAGAACCAGAAATCTAGGGTTTCTTGTATGGAAAATATACTTAGAAAATTAATTTAATTATTATTAGGGTTTTAGAAATGGTTCTTGAATTCCAGGTTCAATCAGGGTTTTCGAGTTTTCAGTTGGCGCGCATGCTCGATTCTATAACTCGAATTGAAGACAAAAAATGATTTGAGGGTCTTTATTGAAATAATTCAAAAGTCAAGGACTTAATAGGTTTTACAAAGGTTAGGGGCCTCACATTGAGAGTGTGAAATTGGTGGTTTGTAACTCAAGCTTTCATTCCTCTTCAAGAGGTATACCTTTTGGTGCTTTTTGTACCATCCTTTTACTACTTGTTTTCTATCATTTCTTGTTGTTTTTGAGCTATTTATTACTTGTGTTTTTGGGCTGAAACTTGTAGTTTAAGGCTATTAAAGGCAGAGGGGTTGATAACCGTTCTTTTAACTTTGCTTCTAAGGCCTTTGCCCATGTGTTTCCCACATTCTCATCACCTTTCTTTGAGCTTTTTACCACTAATTTTCAGAGGTTTTTTAGAGGTAAAAATCATGTTTTGAAGTCCCAAAAGTGGAGGGGTTGCCTCCCCTCCTTGTGCTTGTGCGCTAGTTTTAATTCCTCAATATTTTAGCTAGTTGCTGTAGTTATTTTTATCTGTCCAGCAATTTTTTTTGGCTGTTTTAGGACTGTTTTTATGTGTTAGCTTCATTCATGCTTTGTATAGTATGCTTGTAGTGTAGTGGTCCTCATAGCCTTGGTGTTTTAGGTATTAGACACCAACCTATTTAAGTTGATAGTATTTATTTCAAACTTTCCATACTTGTGATAACGTCTAATCATCTCTACAACCTCCCTCCTTTCTTGGCTTTTTCTTTGTTTTGAAAGTTGTTTCAAACTAATTGCTTGTTTAAGCGTGAAATAGAGGTAGTGTGCTTAATGGTTTAATCCCTTTGGGGGTTTGTTACCAATTGCATGACACTTCTCTCATGCCTAAAACAACACTTGGTTTGGTGCTTCTTTCTATTAATGGACTTAAAGCTCATTATTAGACTCAATTGGTTAATGAATGGAAAGGTAATTAAAAGAGGTGTTAACTTGGACTAAAATGGAATAAGATAATAAAAGGTGTTGTGTTTAATCGGACGTTAATTGAACAAATTGAGACTTGGCCTATTTCATACTTGTTAGTGATGAAATGGTCCAAGTTTCCAAGGTCAACCACTTCCCTTGATCAATCCATGATAGGAAGGATGTTTTGTTGGTCTTTTGTTATGCATTTATTGAAATTGTGTCCCTTGATTCATAAGTCATCATGCAATGAAATTGCGTCGATTGACGATTTGGGAATCAAGCCTACCCCCTTTGACCTGTTTGTTGATAAGGAGAGGCAGGGTGGACAAACATCCCTTGAAAATACTCTAGTTTCTGCTCTGTTTGTCCTCTGTTGCTGCAAGGAAGAACCAAAATCAGTGGCTGGCAGACCACTTTTACTGAATGGCAACCCACTACTAGTGGCCTGCCGGCCACTACTTCAAGGTTGCCAGCCACTTTTTCAAGCAGGCAGTGTCCTTTTTTCAGCAGAGCAGAGCAGAGGCTGAGGTGAAAAATAGTGCAATTTTCTAACTATGCAACAGAGGCATTCAACAGAGGCATTCCTGTAGCAAAACGGAGAGCATTATCGGGTGGAAATCCGCGTTTATGCATGAGTCATCCCTCAATCCTCCAGATTTGTGAAATGATGTTGTAATAGTAGTAGTGTTGTGCTTAAAGTAGCAAGTTTGTAACTAATTAGTTAGAAATAGCTAATTAGTTCTGTATTGTAATTATTTCATTTAATTAGCTAGAATAGTTAATTAAATTTGTGTTGTAATAATTAGTTAATTACCTAGTGTAGTTAATTTATTCATTTGGTTTATAATAGTTAGTTACTTCGCCGCTTAGCTAGCTCATTCATTTGGACCCTCCTGCGTGAGGTCCAATATGTAATATTTGTGTATGTCTTCTAACCCTACATCTTTCTCCCTTTTATTTACTAATGGATAGTTTAGAACATCATGTCTCATTTAGCATATTCTATGATTTGCTTCCACTTGTCTTGCATTCGTCGGGGCTCGGTTCATCATTCTAAACAAAGCATTGTCGTTTATTACTTCGTTAAATACGTGTTAAACCATATACTATCAAATTGATTCACATGTCATAATTAGTAACCGAGCCTACACTACAACAAAACTAACTATTCACGGCATCATGTTTACGACATGCATTAATGTCGTAGTTAGTACATTCTACAGCATTTTTTTTTTTTTGCAAGCCGTTAATGTTTTGTCAATAACAGTATATATACCATGTAAGTCGTTGATTCATATATTTATAGTATGCAAAAGTATGCCGTAAAAAATGTATGTTTTTACGACTTACAAAAATATGCCGTAAAATATTTGCACTTAAGACGACATATATTTCATGTTATAAAATATTATAACTTTACACGACATGCATTAACATGTCGTAAAAACTTTTGCAAAAAAAAAAAAAATTCAATTCAAAATTTTTTTATGGTATGCAAAAACATGCCGTAAAAAATGTATATTTTCACGGTATATAAAAATATGTCATAAAATATTTGTACTTAATACGACATACATTTCATGTCGTAAAATATTATAACTTTATACGGCATGCATTAGCATGTCGTGAAAACTTTTATTAAAAAAAATTTCAATCCAAAATTTTTTTTTTTTGATTTAAAAAAACTAACAATTTCCAACCAGGCTTCTCACATTACATTTTCCTAATTGAGGACAACATAAAAAACGTTATTTTATAATTTAGTGTCTTTGTTAAGGGATAATTGCACCCAGTGAGATTTTGAGAAAAAAAATTACATATTCATGAAAAAGTTTATAATTTTAATAATTAATATTTATATGGTTTCTCATTAATTTGTAATTATTTTTTTTTAAAATTACCTTGATTTGATATTTTTCCTTCTTTTAGTAATTTATTTATTTTTTACTTTTTAAATGTGCCTAATCTAAATACAATTAAAAAATATAATATATGTGAAATGTATTAAATTTTACATTTTTTTTTTGAATTTAGTGATTTTTTAAAAAAATTAAAAAATATTTTTCTTTTAAGTATATGTAAATTATTTGAAGTTAAAAAGTAAAAAATATATATATATTTAAAATATTTAAAAACTTACTCATAACATTGTCCCGTTACTCTCTCACTCACTCTCTGGGTTCTCTCTCTCTCTCTCTCTCTCTCTCTCTCTCTCTCAACCCTCTCTAAACCCTAATCTCTCTCAACCGATCGAATCAACCTTCTTCAGCCCCATTTGATCTAATCTCAGAGCGATTGGTGATTCATCTCAGATCCAATCTCAGAGCAATTGGCAATTTCGATTTTGAGATTTCGAAGCTCTACCGCCTACACCATTTGCACCGACGAGGGGAGCAAGCACCATCATCTACTAAGGTGAGCACTACCGTCTCTCTCTCTCTCTCTCTCTCTCTCTCTCACCCTCTCTCTCTCTCTCATTCTTCGATTTTGGCTATCAATTCCAAAATGTAAGGCGATTTTCATATTCTGTTTTTTGTTTTGATAGATTTTATTGCGGTTTTTCTGAAAATTTGTTACATTTATCAGTGATTTGTGGCGAAATCACAATTTCTTTGCTCTTTATTCTCTCACTGTTGCTTACTGTGTCTTTTCTTGATTTCAAATTGCATCAATCTCCCAATTTTAGGATTCATAGATATCTCTTTTAGTCCGTATGAGAATTTTATTTTATCTGATTCAATAATCATCAGTCTTCGAAGCTCTTTGTCTTGATATCTCACAATCGATGGCTTTATTAGAATGTATAAAGCATTTGATTCAGTTGGGATGGGTTGAATCTTATGCCGGCGATTTGATTGCATATCTTGTGATGGATTATTCATACATAATTTTTTTTTTTTCAAAAAAGCTTTGACTCAATTAGAGGCTTAGATGGATGAATTAAGTGTAGAGTTTGTTGCTGATGGAGACAGATAGAAGCAGCTATGGCTGGTTCAAGTTGAAGGAATGGTTAATTGTGATAACAATGAAACTGTTTCTGAATTATGTCCCAGATTAGATGTTGATGGCTTTAGAAAATAAACGACTTTTAGGAAGTGAGACAATTACCTTTTTTAAGTGCTGATAGACACAACAGTTTATAATATATGAGAGCAACAAAGCTGTTTTAGAATATGACTTTTGGGAAGCATGACAGTTATGAGTCATTTAGCTAAGCTTTATTATTGCTAACCAATCAGGAAACAATGTCTTTTAGGGACTCGAGACCAGGTTCACTAATAAATTGCTTGTCATTGATATCAAACAACTATGACTTTTCTATAATAAATCAACTTATATGTATCTTTGATTGTCTCCCACAAATGTATGAACTTGTGGTTGAGTGGTTGTAATATTGTGTGTAAAACTGGAAGATTGGTGGTAGGTGGTCTAGTTATTAGGTGCATTTGTTGTACACCAAAACGTACATAAATTTTGTTTCTATTTTGGGTGACTTCTTTTCATTATCCTTTGGCACCGGTATGGAAGTAGCTCTCATGACATTGATTGCCTGACGGGCATACTCTCTCATAGTTGAGCACATCATCAACTAGCAAATTACAGTGTTAATGAGTAAATGATCTCCACTCCACTCCACCTACTATATTTATTGTATCAGTCATGACCTTATATGTGCCAACTATAAATTTATTAGAATTTTTTATAGATTTTTTTATTTTATTTTTATGTATCATAAGAACTCCATCTATTTAACTTTGTAAAAAAGTCACAATGCATAAAGTATGAGTGTCACGCATTATTTTGAGTTTGTTTCTTATTATTTTCCCTTTTTCTGTCTTTCTTTTGAGGAACATTTCATTCTCTCTTCTAATAGTGTTTCTTCACTAATTTACATGGAATAATTTTCTCCTCCATTTATTTATTTATTTATCTTTTACAGGGTAAAGTGTGAACATGTTTGAGTCCTAGAATGAGCTCCTACTTTTTAAGGGATTTATAGACAGCAACTTGGCTGGATTCAGTCATGTAAATATTAAGTCCATGTGTTTACCATTATGCTTCAAAGGACACTGTAATGCAAGATAGTGATCATATAAATTTGCTTCCATTTAGCGCTTGTTGATGTTGAAATTATTTAAAGTCATGTTCAATGACCCCAAATATACCTAATACTTAAAGGCAACAAACAAATTAATCCTATTAAACAGAAAAATTATTAGTTTAACACCATACCAGGTTCTTAATGTCCGAATTCCCTGTATCATATCCAAAAGATTACCTGGGTCAAATTAACCCTTAATGTCAAAATTAAATACACAGTATGGTATAAAAGCATCAACTCTTACGAACTAAATTGGTATGCCCAACCAATAGTAGTGGCTAACATCAATTCCTAGTAGACATATGTATGGTTTATATAATTTAATTTATTTGTTTGGTTGACAAGAAATAGAATTGTAGTGCCCTTATTTTAAATTTAAGAGTGATTCATTGATCCTCTTGTGTAAATTGATGACAAAAGTTGATCTCTTACCTCCAAGTGTCAAAGATTTGCAGTTCAATCGATTTTTTAAAAACGGCAAGGAGTTTAATGCTTCCACTGTCAGAAGTTCTTTGTTGTTAATTGCAACCTAGATGGAATAAATACACTGTCATATTAAGGAACAAGTCTCAAAAGGTTCATTGATGAAATATTCAGAACTCCATAGCCTTCTTTGTTGTCTATGGCATTCAGTTTACAAATTCAATTTTCTTACTTTTCCAATTGTCTCCAAAAATGGCACCTTTTGCATGTGATCACTAATTAAAAAGGTTAAGCAGTGATGTACTTCTTATGAGCAAAAATATCATCTCAACTATTGAATACTATAAGTGAGAAAATGTCATAAAATTTACGAATGGCTTCTTATCCAAATTTATTTTTCTGAAATGAACATGTCACTTTATAATAAGGATCCAACCTCCCTATTGACTCTGCTTCTTATTCTTTACTTGATGAATAATAATTCCTATGAGCTTCAAGTTTAGTTGTCTTTTAACTTCGTCTTCATTTTTTTTATTTTTTTATTTTGTTGTGCTTGTACACAGGTTTTCTATTATTGGCAAGGGTAATAGCTGTGACATTCTGTGTAACCTTAGCAACATCATTGGCTGCAAGACTCGGTGCAACACCTATGGCTGCATTTCAGATTTGCTTACAGGTCTGGATGACCTCGTCGCTTCTTTCTGATGGTTTGGCTATTGCTGGACAGTTATGGCCACGTGCTGTTCTTTTTAATTTTTCCCCTTTCGAATATTTGGGAGAAATTCTTCTATTTAATCAGGGAAGACAATGTGAGAAACTCTTTTTTGTGTGTGACTCTCTCTCTCCAATTTCTGAGAACCAAAAAGAGCCTAACCAAACAAATAACAACGAAACTTCGTATTTTTGTTTTTTTTCCAATTGTAACATAAATTGATCAATCAATTATTTTTTTTCTCTATCTCATTCTTCCAGGCTATCATTGCTTGTGCGTTTGCTGAGAAGGATTATGAGAAAGCAAAAGTTGTTGCAGCGCGAGTGTTGCAGGTAAACCATTTTCCAATTCTTAGTGTACAAATCGTTCTCTCAACAAACGCAATTGTTTTGATACCCTCTTCAATTTTCATTATACAAAGCCTAAACATGTTTGAGAGGTTTTATTTTGCAGATGGGATCTATGTTACACGGACTCGGGTGCGGGTACGTATGTAGGAGTCGGGTACTTCAAAATTAAAAATTGAGGATACGTGGATACGGATCCAAACGAGGATACGGGTATGGGGATACGTTAAATATTTAATTTTTAAAATATATTTATTATATAAAGATAAGTTAAATAGTTATTTTTTAAATATATTTATTATTTTTATCTTATGTATTACTTTTATTGATAATTTTTTTAATTTATCTATATATATATTTTTTTACTTTTAATTGACATATATATTATAAATAATAAAAATATAATAAATAAGGAATAACAAATTATGTTAAAATAAATATAAAATAGATAATGTATTTTGTAGATTTTATTAATTTTTTATTATATATTATTTAACTAAATTTATTATTATATAATTGATAGGTAGATGGTATCTTTTTTGAATTTTGATTGGTAGGTGAAAAGGTGAAAATTTATTAATTTGTTGGTTGGTGACAACTTTTAAGATGGAAGAAAATGAGTTGTTCTCAATATATTATTTATGATATAATTTATATTATATATTATTTATGACATTCAAAGCATCCAGCTCATCCAATTCCTCGGTTACAACTGACTCAAAAGAAAAGGAAAAAGACAACCTAGACAAAACTACGGCATCCGGGTTATCAATCCCAAGAATACCAGACTCCAACTCAGAAGAACTGAAATCTGATTCCGAGTCCACAGACTCTGTGGAATCAGATTTTGGCTCACTACCTGATTCAGAACTACTAGACAAGAAACCCTCCTCTAGCTGCCATGTGAGGGAGGGTGCATTATATGTATCCAGAATACCACCGGAAGGGTCCACACTTGATTGGTCTCCGATCATGGAAACGGTGAAGTCATCCCCCAAACTCTCCGGTTTGATCTGAGGATCCGAAAAGAGATACGCCAACGCTGCTCCTAACTTAAGTTCACTGCTGTTGGACTCGTCCTCTATGCTCTGTTCAGTCTCATGAGTTAACTCAGTCTGTTCCTCTTAGGCTTTATCTTCTTACAACTGTAGGTCGAAGAAAATCTCAAAGCCGGGCAGACGCTACTTTTCAGAGTTCAACCATGGCTCAGGAAAGCTGCAAAATGGGAAGTCTTCCCCCTCCCAAACAAAGCGGCCATTCAGAGTTCCCTGAATTGGTCGATGCACAAGTTCATAATGTTTTCCATTTTGCTTAGCTTTGGCTCTTCCTGTCATTTCCTTTCCTTTCCGAACCCAGTCTTCTTTGGTGGGCGCATAGCCAAGACCAAAGGCATGCGGATTATGTGGCACATCAGCCAATGCTGTGACGTCCTTCAGGCCACTTCTCCCTAATCCTATTCCGGGCATATGTTATAGCTTGTTCATGAGATATACAGATTGGGCACTGACATACAAGCCCTCATCAACGGCTAAAATATTCTGCACTACCCAGGCCTCAGCCAAGGTAAACCCTGAAAGGAAAATAGAGTATAACTCAAAGCCGTTGTAGTCTACCAATTACATTACCAGGCGACAAGCTGTCAAGTTAGGATGAAAGTTTGAGATTTTATTCGAAAATATGTAAATAATTAAAGCTAATAATAATTAGACATCTCAATATTATCCTAGGGAATGCAATTTTGTCTCCAAAATTGCACCCTTCATGGATGATAGGGATTTGAATAGCTTGATGATGTATCACTTTCTTAGTTTGTATGTTTGAGGGTGTTATCAGCTTGTTTAAAGTTGTATTTTAGAGATTAGTGAATCTTATGATTTGGATACTTTTCTTGGTTTGTATGTTTGAGTTTGTTATTAGTTCGATGTGATAGAAGTTGAGGATGGAAGTTAGTATGCAAGTTATTTGATGTATGGATATTAGATTTTTTTACTTATTTCATAGTTGTTGCTTCTGCTTGGTTTGTTCACAGGTTGTATTTTTTAAGCTACTGTTTGCATATTATTAGGCAAGGTTATATTCATATATATATATATATATATATATGTATATATTATATTTTAAAAATAACCTTCTACGGCATATAAAATTATGTCATAAAAAGTGTAATGATTTATGACATGCAAGAAAATGTCGTAAAAGATTATATATGGCATACAAAGCATGTCATAAATATATTAAAAATGACCTTCTACGGCATACAAAATTATGTCGTAAAAAGTGATGATTTATGACATGCAAGAAAATGCCGTAAAATATTATATACAGCATACAAAGTATGTCATAAATATATTCAAAATAACTTTCTACGGCATGCAAAATTATGTCATGGAAAATATAATGATTTATGGCACAAAAAAATATCGTAAAAAATTATATACGACATACAAAGTATGTCCTTAATGTTTAATTTATTACTTTTTACAACTTTACCTGTATGCCGTAAATAACGCTCAACTTTTCACAGCATCTCATATAACAGTATTTGTGTGCATGCCGTGAAAGAGTTTCTACGGCATGCATTGCGAGCCGTAAAAATTCAATTTTATTGTAGTGCTATTAGTTGTATATAGCATGTGTTGTATTAGCCATGGTACATTAGTTAGGAGCATGCATGTTGTCTAACTCTTTTGTCTCTTTTGGTTCACCTCGGAGTACTAGGTAAGCTTTTTTTTGCTTTAGCATATTGCACAAGTGTGATTGTTGTTATGTCTAGCATGCTTGCCATGAGGCTAAGTGCTTAATTGATTAATTGCTTGAATGCAGGTGGATGAAGGCTAATTGCTTGAATTGGAATAATTTGAGTCATGTATATATGATATCACTTTTTCAAGTAGTACATATTCAAAATAATTTTCAAAACAAACATGAATCAAAGTGTTTCAATTTTTTCAAATTAGTCTATACTCGTGTATTAAAAATCACATCATGATTAGTAGAGGCTAATCTTTGATCGGGCGAATGGGGTGCTCAGTCCATGACATTCTCCTCTCGTACCTAAGTTCTCGAACCGAGACAATCTTAGTGATGACGAACACGTGCCCTTTAGCATGAGTCATAGGTTTCCTAAATTTTTCAAAAATATTTAGGTGGCGACTTTGTATCTGGCAAAACAGTCTATTTTTGGCATTTTGATTCAAAATCAATTTTTCAACAGATTTTTCGAATTTGGACTCTTTGGTGTTTATCTATTTCACATTGTACTTGTGAGATTAGATTTAGAACCACGGAAGTCCGAACAATAGGGCTAGTCGTATCTGAAAGGAGCACAAAAAGTCAAGCTACAACCGCCCGAGTGACCAAGTGTTGGCTCGAGCGCATATTAGACCCATCCAGAACTTTTGTAGACAGAGCAATCTGTTTAAGCGACCAAAATGTAGCTTGAGCAGTTAGGCCATTTCCAACATATTTTGACAAATTCTTCTGTGTTCATATCTTCATTCTCATCTTCTCTGGAGCATTTCTAAGCATGATTTGTGACTCAGTAAGGAACTAATAAGTGAGAACCAGCATGAATGATTGAATTAGAAAGAGAAGATGAATTATTCGATTCGAACAATGTGTTCCAATGTGTGTTTATGTGAAATGTGTAGGTTTGAACATTGTAGAGAGATATCAACCTACTTGAGGTGAGTAATATCTTAGTAAAGATATTTTCTCCTATTCTATTTTCTGACTATACAATGTGATAAGCTTTTCTATACTTACAAATTTGAAAGTATGAATGAGTTTTCTATCTGTACGCTCGATATGTTATCTGTAATATATATTTATGTTGGGCCTGAGGTCGTTCTGTGATATCCCAAATCTACACTAAGGGTTGTAGTCAAGGGAAAGTCACTAATGAGTCCTATGGCCAATAACCAAGTAAGATCCCAGATCGTCAGAAGAGTCAAATTAGTCTCCCTTCTAAGTCCAACTTTCTTAGGTAGCACACTACCCTTTTAACAAATCTTAAGAGGCATTGACACAAGGTCTCATAAGAAACTTCAGGAATTATATTGGTGTTGGAATATAAGTACATAATAATAAAATAATTATAAATATCCTTAATTACAAAAGCTCATTCCATCAACATTATTTCCCAAAAGAAATTTAAAATTTTATATGGACTTTACAAAACAACAAAAGAAATTCCTAACTTTTCTAGGATAGCTAAATGTCCTCGAAGGTTTCCGTTTCGTCATCTTCTGCTGCAAGCTCCTCTTCGACACCTGGCATGATACGCCTTGAGCTTTGAATGCCCAGTAAACACACACACACCCCATTCCTTTTTTCCAGTCTAATACACCACAACATTTACAAAAAATAGAAGAAAAGGGTCATGGCATTTAAGTTCATAGCACAGATTATATGGTTAGTTGTTAGTAGTCTAGAAATCTCCCAAAAAGATTTCGTCTACTCAACTCCAAGAATTGGACGCAGATTATTCGGTATGCCCCTTCTTTTGCTGCTTTGTTGCAGACCTTACCTCTGATACCTACCAACGATTATATACCACGTAGCACCAACCACAGGGCCTCAAAAGAGATGGTAATGATGAGCCTTGCCCAAATCCCTCTTTGCACCGAACTACCTAGGGTTCGAATACAACCGCTCCATTCAAGGGTTTCGAAACAACAACTTGCGCAAGATTTAACTCACCAAAGGGGATGCATCCCACCAACCAATAACTTCTTCTCATAATAATAATCGATTGATCAAAACCCCATTAGCCACCCCATTACGTTTCATGTTAGATTAATCGTTGTAATTAGTTAGTACAAGTGAGAAGGAAAATAAATTTACATAAATGTAAGCATCATCAAAGGACAAAAAAATACATAACCATGACATGTATAATATCATACCAAGACAATATTATATATAAGTAAGCACATTCATAAAGTCAAAGTACAAAACTTCAATGTAAACAGAATTTCCAGATTTAGAGTCACTTAAAGATCAAGATTAAAAGAACTATTTTCGATTTTTTCCAAATCCGGCCTCCCTATGGTTCATACAGAAATTTATCTAGTTTTCAAAACATCATTCGGAAATGGAATAGCATTTCCAGATTTTTAGTTATTTCAGAAATACTCCATCTCTATCCAGAGTCGTCGACCGTTACGAAAATCGAATTTTCTCTCAAACCTAAGAGTGTGTTAATAAGGTCTTGTTTGTAAAGTTGGCTATTTATCTTTTAAACTATTTTAGTCTGACTAAAATAGTTATATTTGAAAAGTTAATTGACTTTTTTTTTACAATTGACCTAATAGTCATAAGAGAAAAATAAAATGATTATAAATTAAATGTATCATTTTATCTTATTAATTATTGTAACATATTTTGCCCTCGTTTGGCATAAGCTAAACGTGGATTTTTTGGCTAAAATAGTTACAAAAAGACAAAATAGGTTTTTTAGCCCAATAAAACAAAATATCACAGCCAAACCCTAATCATTTCATTTTTTCTCTTAGAAAGTCAAAAAAGCCAAAAAACCTATCATAAATGAGACTTTTTAGCCCAAATCTAAAATAGCCAAAAAATCAACTCACATCCCAAACGAATCCTTTATATTTTAGCAGTTTATTTTAGAGTAAATTACAAATACACTCCCTGATGTTTACTTAAAATACGAATTACCCCATGTAGTTTAGAAAATTACAAATATCTCCTTGTCGGATTTTTTATTTAACAGAATTAATTGAAAAAATAAAATTTCTAACTGTTCACCTATACAATAATAAAATTATCTGAATTATTAATTGAAATAAAATTTTAACATTATTAAAAATTGTTAATTAACTTGATAATTTATAATAAAATGACCTATTTGTTATGAAATTAGAAACCTGAGGCATAATATACTTTTTAGAACCACAAAAAATAATTTGTAATTTAATACCCTTAATTTTAACTCAATCACCATCTCAAACAAGGCCAATTAAGAGATGTATGTCATGGACGGGGCGTTTGTCATGGACTGGGCGTTTGTCATCCTCCCAAGAAACCAGCTCCATGAGTGGTACTGCATACCCCATGCATTATGCCCAAGGACCAACCCAAGAGATGCGATAGGGATCTATCCTGCCTGACTTGTCGCTCACAAACTAATAAGCTTACAAGGTGCTCGGTGTAGAACTCACATCCCTAATGAGTCAATACGTAACAAGCTACCACTGTTAGTCCCTAATGCCCTCACCAGGGGGACATTATTCTGCATGCCTTCATGTTTGTCAGTTTCCCTCCTTATGGGAACCCGCCCGTGCAGGCATCACTCTTGGTACGGACCCCACAATGAAGGTGCTTGGTATAAGTCTCATGTACCGTCCCTACCACAATATCCTAAGCTAGCTCTGATACCACTTGTCACAAATTGGACGCTTGTCATCCTCCCGAGAAGCCAGCTCCATGACCCTGTGCATTATGTCCAAGGACCAATCAGGAGATGCAATAAAGATCTACTATATGTACTTTACTGCTCACAAACTAATACACCTACAAGATGCTTAGGGTAGAACCTGCGTCCTAATGAATCAGCACGTGACAGGCAGCTTAAGAATCACGGACGGCTCCACCAGATCAGCCCAAGGCCGACAGTTTTAGAGGGAGAAGCAATTCTAGAGAGAGAGTGAGCGCCACATATATATTGTTAGGCTGGTGATGATCCAACTTCATCTTCAGACATTGAACCATCAATGAAGATCCACTCTTCTCCACCTTCCTCTTCATTTTCAAACCCTAGGGTTAGGGCTAGCTTATTTCCAATAAACCCTTCACAAACCCATCAATCCGAATTCACTCCTCTCTCGATCTTCTTCTTCATCTTCTTCACCTTCTTCACTCTCATCGACCCCACAACAACTTCAATTCCATCACCGTCTGGCCAAATCCCCTATCCCAATTCCTGCAACGACCTCGTCCCCGAATCCACCCCAATCGGCTCCAACCTCATCGCCAATTTCTCTCTCCAATTTCACAACGCCTATTTCTCCGGCGGCGATACCATTCTGGGTTCCAAAACTCCCCAATCATCGGTCTCTTTTGAAACCCTAACCCTCCACCAAACCCAATCCAAAGGAGTTTTCAAAATTGAGGGTTTGATGACTTTTTGGGGCTCCAATTTTGTGGGTTTTTCTGGGAATTTGACTCACCGGAGATTGCGGTTAATCAATTACCGGGCGCCGAGGATTCCAGTTTCGAGTCGTATACATTATACGAGTTTTCGATTACATGGATTTTGGTCTGAGGCTTCAGGAAATCTTTGTATGGTTGGTTCAGGTTGGAATTACTTAAGCTCTGTTAATGTTGTTTTTAAGCTTCATTATCCCAATGTTTCTACTCTTAACACTAGTTTGATTACTGGAATGTTGGAAAGTTTGGATACAAATGATAGTTTGGACAAATTTAAACCGATTTCAATATTGGGTTTATCAATGATGAATTATCAATACAATTTGGTAGATAGAGAAATTGAGAATGGAGGTTTTAGTGTATACGATAATATGGAGAATGCATCGATTGGTTTAGAGTCGTCTGTCAATAGTGTCTGCGTGGCTTTCAGGTCAGCTGATAGGTTTAAATTGGAATATATGAATGATTGTGAGACTGTCAATTGTAATCCTCTTGACGGTGGTGGTAGAGCTTTGCCTAATTTTTTGTCTTTCAATGACATTGATTGTACGGGGAAATGGAAAGCGCGGTATTTGCTAGATTTTTCAAACTCGAGCTATAATGGACGTCGTTTACCTTTTGATCCGAATTCAATGCTAGTTGCTGAGGGGGTGTGGAATGGAAAGAAGAAGCACTTTGACTTGGTTGCTTGTCGAATATTCAATGTAATGGGTTCTGTGGCTAAGGCTTCACTTGGGGATTGTTCAATTAGGTTGAGCTTGAGGTTACCTGCATTCTTGTCATTGAGAAACAGGAGTGCTGTTGTTGGACAAATGTGGAGTAGAAAAAGTGTGAATGATTCGGGTTATTACTTTGGTAGACTTGCGTTTCATAGCCCTAGCAATGGAAAGGCGAGAGTTGAGGGTCTGAAATACGAGTATACTGAGATTGACAATGTGAGAACATCTTGTGCCAAAAAGATGGAAGATAAACGCAAAGGTGGGACATACCCAAACGGGTATTCCTCTGACATGAGATTCGACATGACGGTGAAAAATAGTAAAGGCCAAGTAGCTTGGGGTTATTCATCTCCGCTATCTGTGGGTGATTGGTTATATAAGCCCCATTCAGTGTCTGCAAGGGAAGCCGAGTCGGCAGTTCAAGTGAATAACAGCCAAAGAGGTGTGCTTAATATTAGCTACATTTTAAGCTTCACACCTCCACCTAATTTCAAGCTAGGTGGTGAACTATCATCAACAAAGTCAGTTGAGATTTCGGCTGAAGGGGTATACGATGCCAAAACTGGATTGCTTTGCATGATAGGCTGTCGGCACCTTGAATCACTTAATAAAAGATTTGCAAAAAACAGATCACTAGACTGTGAAATACTTATCAGTATCCAGTACCCTCCATTGAATGCAAAGGATGGAGTTCATGTCAAAGGAACCATTGAAAGCAATCGAACAAAGTCGGACTCTTTATACTTTGAACAGCTTGAGTTGTCCGCAAGTTCCATTTTCACAAGCCAAGCCATAGATACAATTCGGAGAATGGACCTAGAGATCACCATGGTCCTAATTTCCAACACACTTGCATGTATCTTTGTGGTTTTGCAGCTATTTTACGTGAATAAGTACCCGGATGTGCTTCCTTTCATATCTGTTGTGATGTTGACTGTTCTTACTCTAGCGCACATGATTCCTTTAGTACTAAATTTTGAAGCCTTGTTTTTGGCAAACCGTAACCGACAGAATGTTTTTCTTGGGAGCGGTGGATGGCTTGAAGTAAACGAGGTATTGGTAAGGGTCATAACAATGATAGCTTTTCTTTTGCAGTTCCGTCTTCTCCAACAGACATGGTCTGCAAGAGTCAGTGATGAAAGATCAAAGAGCCTTTGGGTTTCCGATAAAAAGGTTTTCTACTTGTCTTTACCGTTGTACATAGCTGGTGGGTTGATTGCTTGGTTTGTGCATCAGTGGTTTTCTTACAAGACCCCATTGTTACAGTTACGCCATTTCGGTTACCAACAGCAATCTTTCTGGCGAGACTTGAAATCTTATGCCGGTTTAATCTTGGATGGTTTTCTGCTTCCTCAGATAGTGTTCAACATGTTCTGTAATTCCAAAGAGAAGGCTCTTGTCCCTTCCTTTTATGTTGGGACTACCATTGTTCGCTTGTTGCCTCATGCGTATGATCTTTGCAGGGCTCATGGTTCTTCTACATGGTACTTTGGTGCTATATATGCAAACCCTAGAATGGATTACTATTCGACAACCTGGGATATCATTATATCTTGTAGCGGTCTGCTGTTCATTGTTGTCATTTACTTGCAACAGCGGTTTGGTGGTCGTTGCTTTCTTCCCAAGAGATTTAGAGAGAGTTCTGTGTATGAGAAGGTGCCTATAGTTAGTAGCGAGTAATCACCACAAGGCTTAAATTTTGGTTGGTTTAATACTGCAAACACATCCGAGCCAAGCCTAATGTTGAGCTTCATAGTAGGTGGTGATTTATTCATTTGTTGAGGTGCAATACTGATTGTTTTGAGTTGATTGGAACTTTGTGACGAGTTTGATGGTTTGTGGACATCTCTTGGTCTTTGTTAGCAATTGCATGGAAACATTAATGAGCTTTTTCTTGTGGAAAATATCTCAAAAATGGTGATACCTCTCTATAAACAGCATTTGTTATTTCACTTTCTATCAACCAATATATATATATATATATATATTATATAAACTTATTTTTATATTTTTTCAAAAAAATAAAAAAATATTTTTCTTTGAATTTTTTTTATTTTAAAAATAGATTTTTGAAAAGAGTTTGAGTTTTGAAAAAAAAAAATTTAATTGAGTTTTGAAATTTTGTTTTGTTATAAGTTTTAAATAAAGTTTTAAATTTTTTTAATTAAAATCATAATTCCAAAAGAAAACCTAACAATACCGAAGTTTCGTAATGCTTTTGTCATTTTCAAGAATGCCTCTCAAATTGTGAACTGTAAATTTCACATCCAACTACTGCTCTAAACCATCTTCGATGTTGTTTGAGATAAACTATATAAATGTATTTTTTAATTTTTTTAGTTAAAAAAGTAGAAAATATATATATATATATATATATATATATGTTTGAGATAATTTTCTAACTTTTTACGAAAAAATATATATTAAAATATTATATAAAATACTAAAATTATCATATTACCCCTATCAGTACTAACATGCGTACAATGCATGTCAGTACGGTTGCCTTTTTTTCCTTTACAAAACTGTGGTGGGCAGCCGGGTTTGTTTAACTTTTCTTTTTCTTATTTTTTTATTTTTTATTTGCCTTTTTCCTTGTTTCCAACGAAGGACATTTATGTCTTTTTGCCCTTTGTCTAATTCCAATCATGTGAATAATGGGGAGCTTCTATTTACACACACATAACTCTCTCTATGCACATCATTCTCAGTACACACACATAAAAAAATTAAACTTAATTTGTTTTACTCACTGCACACACTTATTTTCCAAATATACCCTCAAAGCCAAATTGTGCACACACACATACACATTGTGCACACACACATAGACATTGCAGCGGCTCCCCATTCCGTCTCTCTCACACACACCCATCTCTCACTCTCACAGTGTGTACCGTCCGTCCCCCACCTCCATTGAAGACCTCCTCATTGAAGAAGTGCCATTGAAGAGCAGTGAAGAAAACTCTCTGTCCATTACTGTCCCTCACATTTGGAGATTTAGGTTAGTTTATTGATCTTAAAATCCTCATTTGTATGTCATTTGTACTTTGGGGTTTGTTTGAACCATTTTCCGATCGAAGAAATAGCCCACTGTCATGGATGATTTTGTGCTTCATTCGGAACTGGTTTTCTGAAATGTATTGTTTTTGCCGGAAATCAAGCTTCGAAATATGCCCAATAAATCGACAGTCAACTGTCGAAATTTTGAAGTTCATTCGGCATACAACTTCCGAACAGTCAACTGCCGAAATTTTGAAGTTCATTCGGCATACAACTTCCGAAATATGTTAACTAGTTCGATCCTGGTTTTCCGAACGATGCTGGGAAAAAAAATGGAGCAAAACTCACCTTTCCTTGGTTACCTTTCTCATAAACAGTTAGCTGCTTCTCAAAATCTGAATTTTCAGAAGGTAAATCTTCCATAACAATGAGTGAGGATGAGATTTAGTGTGTAAACTAATGAAAAATGGAATGAAGAATGAGGAAGGAAGAATGAGGAAGACAGCTTGTGGAAGGAGTGTGGAGCTTGTGAAAGGAGTGTACACTAATGAAGAATGGAGTAACTTTGGAGCTCTGGTATGGAGTAACGTGTGTGTGTGTGTGGATCATTTAGCAAAATGAGGAAGCAGAGGCATTGCAACGTGTGTGTGTGTATTGAGAGGATGTGTGTTTATTTGAATTGTGTGAGATGTCTATAATGGTAATTTTATTTAGGGATAAAATTGTAATAAAAATAAAATTCATTAAGTGTGTGCAAAGAGTGGAATTGGTGTGTGCAAATAGAGACTCCCGTGAATAATGTTAACGTTTTGACTTTTTCATTTTTTATTTTTTTGTAGGGTACTCCAAACACCCACTAAATCTATTTAGTTTCTAAACTATCATTTAGATCTATTAAGTCATTAAAATATTTAATTCGAACATAAAAATAAAATAAAAGTTTAGAAGTTTTATAAATTAGGAGAATACTTTAACCTTATGATTTTATTTTAATTTAATCTAATTGATTCTATTTGTTAACACTTTTTATATTTTATGAAAATGCGCACGTCATTTTTTTGGTATAAATTTATAAATTCTATTAATTCAGTGAGTGCAATTCGGTGATTTTTTTTTTTTTTTATTATCAGAAACTCTAATTGATGTTATCAATTGTATCAAATTCATACAAAATTCAAGCTAATTAAAAATATACTGACCTCAATTTGGCCTCTATATATTTCACAACTAATAAGCAAGGTTTATGGCTAACTTAGTTGCCCATCGTAAGTTTCTTAATGGCTTAGTCCTAGAAGAAGGTTATTGATATAACTCTCCTTAGAAGGGAATAGAATTAGGAGGCAAGCATTTCGTGTTTTACAAGAGTTTAGAGACTAATTCCCATAAATATTAATCTAACAACTAACAATTGATTTTTGCCAATTAAAAAAATAAAATAAAATAAGCAAGGTTGTTAAAATCAAAATCTTAGATAGAATTATTGGGAGGTACTTGTAGATCATATGGTAGAATCAGATCAAGGATTTTATATTTTACTTTTAATGTAAAATAAAACGAGAAATTATTCATGATGATAATATATCTTAAATAATTTTAAAATCATTAAAGAAAAATAACAAATTTGATATAATGAAATTTTATGTTAGCATATATTAGAGAAAAAGTTTATAGTCAAATTTCTTATATAAATCTACACGTACACATACATATATAAGAAATAAATGAGAAAAAAATTATTTTAGTAGGATCAGGATCGTAGTAGAATTAGTATCGTGTGCTTCTATATAATTTTATGACTAAAGTTGTAATTATTTTAAGATCCTAAAACAATCCAAAAAGTTTAGCTCAACTAGAGTGATCTAAGAGTAATTCTATTTTCACATATCATTTACCCTATGTGCATATTTTTCTCAATGCACACATGTAATAAAATTATTTAATTTTGTTTTACTCATTTTATACATAAAATGTTCTAAATATGCTCATTAACATATCAACACAAAACTCCAACGCATTATGTACACATACCACACAAAAACATAAACTTACACTGCACCCTAAACCTAAACCTAAACCTAAATCGTGTCCAACACATTTTTTTACTCTCTTCAGCAGTACTTCGATGGTAGCCACTAAGGTATACAATTTATTTTTTAAAATTAATAATTTTTCGTTATTGTTTTACTATTATTCTACAAAAAAATTAATGTTCTGTTTGATTTTGAGTTTTCAAAAATATATATTTTTTAATTTTAAAATCTTATTCCTTATTTTTAGTAAATTTTTTAAATATTTTAATCAACCTATTACTTCTTAGGAAAATTTAGAGAAAAGAATTGTTTGAGAAATTTGTTTACTGACATTTACCAATCAGAGTCCTTAAAAAGTCCTAAGCAATTTCTTATAGCCATATAAGTCCTATTTGGCTTCGTTTGGAAAGTGCATTGACTTTTTATTTTTATTTTTTTATTTTTTGACTATTTTAGTTTAGAACTCAAAAGTTTTATTTAGGTTGGACTTTTTGATTTTTTTGACTTTGTAAGAGAAAAAAGTAACATAATTATTGTTTTGATGTAACAATTTATCTTATAGACTTTTTAGCTTATTTTATTTTTTTATGACTATTTTAACCTTTTAGCCCCTAAAGTTAACAAGGCCTTTATGTATGAAGTTATTCCATAAGATCCTTTTTTTGAAAATCTACACTTCGTTTAGTTTCAGTTTTCAAAATTCATTTTTTAAAACATTTTACATTTTCATTTTTCGTATTTTTTTTTTGTTTTCACTTTTTTTTTTAATATTTTAAGCAATTTTTTTTTTTAATTTTTAGAAGCACCTAATATAAATACACTTAAAAAGTATAATATTTGTAAAAAAAAATTTTTAAAAAAATCACTAAATACCAAAATTACACAAAAAAATAGAAAAATTCAGTACATTTTTCATATTTTTGTATATTTATTAATTTTTTAAAATATTTTTCATAAATATCTTACTATTTAGATACATCTAAGTAAGTTGCATCTAAAAAAATATTTTAAAAAATTGTTTAAAATTTTAAAAATATTCACTAAAAACACACACACACACACACAAACCCAAAAAACAAACAATTTAATTTTCAAAAAATTAAATTCAGAAAAGTGAAACCAAACACAATGTGATTTTCTCTAACTTTTATTGCCCTTTTTTTCTTGTTATTACATGACATAAGATTATATTGTTTCCTTATATAAGTTTTTTTACATATGTATTTATTTTGGTGGGCTACATATTTTTATTTTGAAAGGTTAAATATCTAACTTGCTTTTTTGCAATTTTCTATTGCAATTTGAAGGAAATTTTATTTTTCCCTCCAAATTATACTCCTCTAATTAATTGCACATTGAACTTTTTAATATTGTCAATTTACTCTCTGACCTATTTAAATCATAATCAATTTACCTTCTACTATCACATTTGAATGGAAAAAAGTTTTATAAAATTATAATTCTCAAATTTCAAATTATAAATCCAAGTCCATCTATTCTCTTCTCCTCTCTCACCCAAACCACCCTCTCTTCTCTATTAACCAAACAACCTCACCACTACCACTATCACTACCATTGTCACGTCAGTTTACTGACCTTCCCACCACTAACTAGGGGTGTAATTCGGGCAAGTTCGGTCAGAATGGA